GTGGGGCCCGGCGACTACCATACATACAACACTTGATTTTTTACAATAAATACTACTCATCTCATCCTAGATTAAGACTACAAATATTTTAAGATAAGTAATGAGTAAACTGTATATGCATTTTATCGCTCTGGGATGCTTAAATGTAATAGAATATTATGTGGCCTGGTATGGTAGCCCAGCTGACTACCATACATACCACACTTGATTTCTTACAATAAATACTACTTGTCTCATCTTAGATTAAGACTGTAAATATTTTAAGGTAAGTAATGTGTGCACTATGTGTGTATTGTACTTTTTTATTGTTTTTTGATGCCTGGTTCTATTGCTAACTTAATATATGTTAGTGTAAACTTGTTATCTAGTGTTTGTATGCAGTTATAAGTGGAAAAAAAGGGTGTTCCACTTTACGGTGATTTCCGCTTTACGGTGGTAGCCTGGAACCTAACCTGCAGTATAAATGGGGCCCTACTGTATTCCAATTTCAAAATATGATCCAGAGTAAACAATGCAGGTATTCCTGGCACTAAAATAATATTTTCTCTGTTCATGAGTTGCATTTCCAGGCTTTTACACATGAATACCATTTTGATTTTTCATTCACACAATTTTTATTCACACAAAAATAGAAGATTTACTTCTATGGAATATTGTAATAACTGATAAATTAATATCATTGCCTTCGTTTGTGTATATTAGACTCATCAGTAGACGTGTATTAGATGCGTGATTTGATTTGTTTACTTCTGAATGTAGGCAGTAATCGAACATTTTGAGCTCAATTTCAATCTATTTTCAGTTCTAAAACCAATTAAAATTTTCTCTATTTCTGTAATATATGATCCATTCTATCAAATGAGATTAAGAAACCGTGACTACAACCATAAAAACAAAACGAAAATTCACTGGAAAGTCGCTGTTTAACCCTTTGAGGGTCGACAGGCCCTCTCCGAAACTCGTTCTCAGGGTCGGCCAAATTTAAAAAAAAAAAAAATTATTTTTTCTTATGAAAAGATAGAGAATCTTTTCCCGATCATAAAGACACCAAAAGTTTGAAATTTGATAGAAAACTTACGGAATTATGCTCTCGCAAAGTTAGCGGTCTCGGCGATGTTTACGCATCGGCGATTTTGCCCACTTTGAGCCCCATTTTCGGCCAATTTCACTGTACTAGTCGACAAAAAACATGAATATTTCGCTAGAACTCCATTTTTTCTATCGAATGGGTGCAAGAAACCACTCATTTATGAAATTCAACTATCCAGTACAGTGGTCAGAATTTAGCAATTTTGCCAATTTCACACAAATTTTCAAAAGATGCCAATTTCGGAATAGGGTCCAGAATAAACAAGAAAGACATTCCTGGCACTAAAATGACATTTCCTCTAGTCATTATTCACGTCTCAAGGCCCCTCTTATATTCTTTTGTTTTTCCACTTTGAATTTTTATTCTCACAAAAAATATAAGATTTACTGTTATGCAGACTACTGCATTAGTGTAAAAAATGGTATAAATATTATTGGTGCACTTGTGAAAGAATATTAGACTCACTAGTTGACGTGTATTGCACGCTTGGCAACGATTTGTTACTTTGAAGTTTGGTAAAAATCGAACATTTCTGCTACTTTGAGCTCAATTTCAAGGCACCTTATTTTGTAAAACCAGTCAAAATCATCTCTATTTCTGTAATATGTCTTCCATTCTATAAAATGAGACCAAGAAAACTAGAATACAACAATAAATACCATACGAAAATACACTGCAAAGTCGCTGATTTATTCAAAAAAAATGGTCAAAGTTTTTTTTTCTCATTATGCACTGTGTGCTGCAGGATTTTTTTTAGACTGTGCACACTGACCACATAGACCCATTCTTTCATATGAAGGCCTACCAGCTTTCTCCCACTAGATTTGAGGCCGCTAGAATTTATGAGTACTAGTACGTCAAAACCCCCTACGCGTAAGACGTACTAGTACGACGAAAACCCTCAAAGGGTTAAAACCAAAAACACAGTTGTATTTTTTCTCATTATTTACTGTGTGCTGCAGGATTCTTTTTATATGGTGCACACTTACCACATAGACACATTCTCTCATGTCTGGGCCCAATTTTACCACTCACAGCTTATCTGAGTGAGCTGAACTCAGCGCCATAGAACAACGGCACAGACCCTCAAGTGGTTAATAAGTTGTACTATGGTATCCATATTTTGTTGTCAAAGTGATCTTTAGTGTGGGTTTCTGTTGAAACCACAAATATTGCATTTGACTCTGTGAGGAGTCCACTGATGAACGATACTTTGTTAATAGTTGATGGCTTTAGACTCAGTCATATTGCTTGTTGGGAGGCTTTATTTGTTGGCACTAATAGCCTGTTCTGGAGTGGGAGACACTGACTCTGCCTCCACTCCAGCAAGGTTCCAAAGTGGTGTATTTGTCATTTCTTGCAGTTATTTCTTTAAAAAATCTCTTGTGATTGTGTTGTTGTGGGTGATTGAGGGGTAACTAGTTTACATTGTTTTTTTACAGGTGTGAGGCACTAGCTGAAATAATTTGGTTGAACCGGCACCAGATAAAAGAATGTGAGCGACACCAAACAAAAATACCTATAGCACCACCTGGAGGTGTTGATATGCTTCCCACTCTCAACTCCCACATCACCCGCCTCTTGTCTTCTCTTGTCACAAGGTGAGTCGTTCTGGTACCTTTTTTTTTTAAACACATCAGCCGTCTCCCACCAAGGCAGAGTGACCCCAAAAAAAACATTCACCATCATTCACTCATAATCACTGTCTTTACATAGGTCCTCAGATACAACAGTTTAGATGTCACTCCAAACAGAATATCCAGTTTTCCATTATCATCAGTGTGACCTATACAGCCAACTGAGTTAACTGGTTGGTAGACAGCAGCCATCAAGGAAGATACTACTGTCATGTCATATGAGTGGGAATGAATTTTGCAGTGTTTTGTTTATTTTTATGTGCATGTTAGTTGGCAAGTAAATCAAAATTTAACTTGAAGTCAGTATACACATTTGTCTTTATTTTCCATTGTTTCTAAATTTAGTAAAATAGTCCTTTCTCTTGTAACATTTCCATTCCTAAATTAATATATCCACTTTGAAAAAATAGCATTAAGACATTGGTGTTGAGTACCACAAAAAAAAAAGTGATGTTAGAAAGAATGGGTTGCAATACCACACGTTCAGGCTTACAGACTTATTCAGTTTCTTGTACAACACTCATCTCATTTAGTTCATGCATTGTAGGAATTGGACAACACCAGAATTTTTTTTTGATACCTATATCCTCAGAATTTGCTGATATTGATACCATGAGAATTAACCATACCCAGCGATACTCAGTTTTAGGCAGATGCTGATACCAGTTTCATCAAAATTGGTTGACACCCTCTACACATCTCTAGCACATTGTATCTTTAATTGGTGTGTACACCTGCCACACAACACCTCATTTACTAACGATACCACACCCCTTTCCTGCCTCTCTCATAACATAACCAGGCAGGCACCCTGCTTATCTTCTTGCCTCCTTCCCTAACCACACACTACCCTATCATTCACTTAGGCAAAGGCCTTGGCTACCTGCCTGCCCCACCACATCAGTGCTTACTGACTCTATTTCTGTGAAGGAGGCAGGTAGCATTTGTTTTGCTAATGATGGGTAATTCATCTACTATAACATACACTTTCACTTGTTCACATCCTGTTTCAGTGTTCAAGAAAATTTTTGTGGATTTTTCAGTAATCGTGGAATTTCTAAGAATATTACCATTGCAAATATAGAAATCTGACTATCAGCAAAATATTTTGGTTAGGCAAATTTAAATATCGAGTGTGGTACTGCACTGCACAGGATATAAAATGCATTGAAATATTAAACCATTGAATGGCAGGACTAGATAAAGAGGTTTTCATGTCTTGTGTATTGGGGCATTACCAGTAGGCCACCAACTGTTCAAGTGGGAACTTGGCATATTCTTGAAGAAAGTTCCTGATTGGCTTGGCTGTGGTTCATGCCATAGTAGCTTTGGGCTCAGGGTTTGAACCGTAGTACTACGTGATGAGCTTAGCTCATCCCAAATAAGCAGTCAGCAGTATATTTTGACCTAGATATGAGAGAATGGGTCTGTGTGGTGAGTGTGCACCACGTAAAAATAAAAAAAGAATCTGCATGGATGTAGTGCAGATGATAAGAAAGGGATGATTGCCATTATTATGAATGAAAAGAAGTTGGATGTCATAGCTCTTAAGCTAAACAATGCTGAAGGGGTAGGGGAGTTTCACTGGGGAGAATTAAATGGGATTAAGTCAGGAGTATCTGAGAGAGTTAAAGCGCTTTAAGGAACGGGTAGCAACAATGTTGAAGGATCAGTTATGGAAGGAGAAGAGGGAATATAAATGTATAAATTCAAGGAGTATGTGGATCAAAATAAGGGTCAGATGTGAAACGTGGGTTACGGTAAGTGTGTACACCTGGAGAAGAGAGGGGTGTAGAGGAGAGAGAGAGATTTTGGGAGATGTTAAGCAAGCGTTTAGAAACTTTTGAACCAAGTGAGAGAGTAATTGTGGTACGGGATGTAAATGCTAAAGTGAGGAGAAACGTTTAGAGAAGGTGCGGTAGGTAAGTTTGGGGTGCTGGATGTAAATGATAATGGGGGACCTTTGATTGAACTTTGTATAGAATGGGGTTTGATAATAGGTAATACATATTTTAAGAAAAGGGATAAATAAGTGTACAAGATATGATATAGAGTGTAATGACAGTAGTTTGTTGAATTGTGTATTGGTAGATTAAAGACTGATGAGTAGACTTCAGGATGTGCATGTTTATAGAGAGGCCACAGATATATCAGATCATTTTTAAGTTATAGTTACAGTGAGAATAAAAGGTAGATGGGATACAAGGAGAATGGAATCAGCAAGCAAGAGAGAGGTGAAGGTTTATAAACTAAAACAGGAGGCAGTTATGGTAAGATATAACTTTGGAAGAAAGATGGGCTAGTGAGAGTATAGGCAGTGAGTTTGAAGAGGTCTGGGGTAGATTTAAGAATGTAGTGTTAGTGTTCAGGAGAAGTTTATGGTTACAGGAAAGTGGGTGCAGGAAGGAAGAAGAGCACTGCCGGTTTCTCTGAATGCCTTCATAAATGTTACCCTGCTCACGCTCCAACAGCACGTCAAGTCCTAAAATCCATTTGTCCCTATTCGCTCCTGTCTAACATGCTCACGCATGCTTGCTGAAAGTTCAGGCCCCTCACACACAAAACCACCTTTACCCCTCTCCCTCCAACCTTTCCTGGGCTGACCCCTACCTTGCCTTCCCTCCATTTCAAATTTATACTATACACTCTCGAAGTCATTCTATTTTCTTTCATCCTGTTTACATGTCCGAACCACCTCAACAACCCCTCCTCAGCCCTCTGGAAAATACACAAATAACCCGCACATAAAAGTGAGAAGCTTACGACGACGTTTCGGTCCGACTTGGACCATTGACAAAGTCAATGGAAAATGTTTGTAATCCTGCACCTCCTCCTAATTTCCAAACTACAAATTCTTTGCATTATATTCACACCACACGTTGCCCTTAGACACGTCATCTCCACTGCCTTCAGCCTTCTCCTTATTGTAACATTCACCACCCATGCTTTGCACCCATATAAGAGCATTGTTATAACTACTCTCATTCAATGTATTCAGATATTTGGGAATGGACTTGTCAGCAGATGGGTCTATGAAAGATGAGGTGAATTGTAGAATTGATGACGAGAAAAAGGTGAGTGGTGCACTGAGGACTCTATGGAGACAATGAATGTTATCCTTGGAAGCAAAGAAGGGGATGTATGAGAGTATAGTTATACCAGTTCTCTTCTATGGGTGTGAAGCATGTGTGGTGAATGTTGCAATAAGGGGTAAGCTGGAGGTAGTGGAGATGTTATGTCTGAGGGCAATGTGTGCTGTGAATATAATGCAGAGAATACGTAGTTTTGAAATTAGGTGGTGGTGCGGGGTTACTAAAAGTATTATCCCGAGGGCAGAGGAAGTGTTGTTGAGGTGGTTTGGAGATTTAGAGAAGATGGAATGATATAGTATGACTTAGAGAGCATATAAATTTGTAGTGGAAAGAAGGCAGGGTAGAGGTTGTCCTAGGAAAGGTTTGAGGCAGGGGGAAAAGGAAGTTTAGTGTGTGAGGGGCTTGGACTGTCAGTATGTGTGAGCGTGTTAGATACGAGTGAGTGGAGACAAATGGTGTTTATGACTTTGACGTGCTGTTTGAGCATGAGAAATATAACATTTATGAAGGGATTCAGAGGAACCAGCAAGCTGGACTTGAGTCCTGGAGGTGTTAAGTACAGTGCCTGCATTCTGAAGGAGGGGTGTTGATATGTTGCAGTTTGATATCTGTAGTGTAGGCATGCCTCTGGCAAGACAGTGATGGAGTGAATGATAATGAAAGTGACGAAAAAAAAGGCACAATACCATGACTGGAATGATACACAAATATTTTATTATTTATTATCACACTGGCCGATTCCCACCAAGGCAGGGTGGCCCGAAAAAGAAAAACTTTCACCATCATTCACTCCATCACTGTCTTGCCAGAAGGGTGCTTTACACTACAGTTTTTAAACTGCAACATTAACACCCCTCCTTCAGAGTGCAGGCACTGTACTTCCCATCTCCAGGACTCAAGTCCGGCCTGCCGGTTTCCCTGAATCCCTTCATAAATGTTACTTTGCTCACACTCCAACAGCACGTCAAGTATTAAAAACTATTTGTCTCCATTCACTCCTATCAAACACGCTCATGCATGCCTCCTGGAAGTCCAAGCCCCTCGCACACAAAACCTCCTTTACCCCCTCCCTCCAACCTTTCCTAGGCCGACCCCTACCCCGCCTTCCTTCCACTACAGACTGATACACTCTTGAAGTCATTCTGTTTCGCTCCATTCTCTCTACATGTCCGAACCACCTCAACGACCCTTCCTCAGCCCTCTGGACAACAGTTTTGGTAATCCCGCACCTCCTCCTAACTTCCAAACTACGAATTCTCTGCATTATATTCACACCACACATTGCCCTCAGACATGACATCTCCACTGCCTCCAGCCTTCTCCTCGCTGCAACATTCATCACCCACGCTTCACACCCAATAAGAGCGTTGGTAAAACTATACTCTCATACATTCCCCTCTTTGCCTCCAAGGACAAAGTTCTTTGTCTCCACAGACTCCTAAGTGCACCACTCACTCTTTTTCCCTCATCAATTCTTGATTTCACCTCATCTTTCATGGACCCATCCGCTGACACGTCCACTCCCAAATATCTGAATACGTTCACCTCCTCCATACTCTCTCCCTCCAATCTGATATTCAATCTTTCATCACCTACTCTTTTTGTTATCCTCATAACCTTACTCTTTCCTGTATTCACCTTTAATTTTCTTCTTTTGCACACCCTACCAAATTCATCCACAATCTCTGCAACTTCTCTTCAGAATCTCCCAAGAGCACAGTGTCATCAGCAAAGAGCAGCTGTGACAACTCCCACTTGTGTGTGATTCTTTATCTTTTAACTCCACGCCTCTTGCCAAGACCCTCGCATTTACTTCTCTTACAACCCCATCTATAAATATATTAAACAACCACGGTGACATAACACATCCTTGTCTAAGGCCTACTTTTACTGGGAAAAAATTTCCCTCTTTCCTACATACTCTAACTTGAGCCTCACTATCCTCGTAAAAACTCTTTCACTGCTTTCAGTAACCTACCTCCTACACCATACACTTGCAACATCTGCCACATTGCCCCCTATCCACCCTGTCATACACCTTTTCCCCAAAACCATAAATGCCACAAAGACCTCTTTAGCCTTATCTAAATACTGTTCACTTATATGTTTCACTGTAAACACCTGGTCCACACACCCCCTACCTTTCCTAAAGCCTCTTGTTCATCTGCTATCCTATTCTCCGTCTTACTCTTAATTCTTTCAATTATAACTCTACCATACACTTTACCAGGTACACTCAACAGACTTATCCCCTATAATTTTTGCACTCTCTTTTATCCCCTTTGCCTTTATACAAAGGAACTATGCATGCTCTCTGCCAATCCCTAGGTACCTTACCCTCTTCCATACATTTATTAAATAATTGCACCAACCACTCAAAACTATATCCCCACCTGCTTTTAACATTTCTATCTTTATCCCATCAATCCCGGCTGCCTTACCCCCTTTCATTTTGCCTACTGCCTCACGAACTTCCCCCACACTCACAACTCGCTCTTCCTCACTCCTACAAGATGTTATTCCTCCTTGCCCTATACACGAAATCACAGCTTCCCTATCTTCATCAACATTTAACAATTCTTCAAAATATTCCCTCCATCTTCCCAATACCTCTAACTCTCCATTTAATAACTCTCCTCTCCTATTTTTAACTGACAAATCCATTTGTTCTCTAGGCAAATAACCCGCACATATAAGAGAGGAGCTTACGACGACTTTGTAAAATTGTAAATGGTCCAAGTCGGACTGAAACGTCGTCGTAAGCTCCTCTCTTCTATGTGCGGGTTATTTGTGTATAATGAAAGTGTTTCTTCTTCTTTTTCAGGTCACCTTGTCTTGGTTGGAAACAGCCAATGTGTTAATAAAAAAATAGTAAAAAAAAAAAAATGTCCAGTAATCACAGTAGAAATATACATTCATATGTATGTATCACTTTTTTTTTCAGCACCTTCATCATTGAGAAACAGCCACCACAAGTGATGAAAACAAACACCCGCTTCACAGCGACAGTACGTTTGTTAGTGGGTGGCAAACTCAATGTCAACATGACGCCGCCTCAGGTGCGAGTGTCAATCATCAGTGAAGCACAAGCCAATGCTCTTCTTAAGAATGATCAAATGAACAAGGGTGAACAGTCAGGAGAAATTCTTAATAACACAGGCACCATGGAGTACCATCAGGTAGGTGTTGCACTTGGATTAAGAGTTGAATATAGCAATATGTTTAGTATTTTTGTAGGTAGTAGGTTGGTAGACAGCAACCACCCAGGGAGGTACTACCGTCCTGCCAAGTGAGTGTAAAAGGAAAGCCTGTAATTGTTTTACATGATGGTAGGATTGCTGGTGTCCTTTTTTCTGTCTCATAAACATGCAAGATTTCAGGTACGTCTTGCTACTTCTACTTACACTTAGGTCACACTACACATACATGTACAAGCATATATATACACACCCCTCAGGGTTTTCTTCTATTTTCTTACTAGTTCTTGTTCTTGTTTATTTCCTCTTATCTCTATGGGGAAGTGGAACAGAATTCTTCCTCCGTAAGCCATGCGTGTCGTAAGAGGCGACTAAAATGCCGGGAGCAAGGGGCTAGTAACCCCTTCTCCTGTATATGTTACTAAATTTAAAAGGAGAAACTTTTGTTTTTCCTTTTGGGCCACCCCGCCTCGGTGGGATACGGCTGGTGTGTTGAAAGAAAGAAGAAACATGCAAGATTTCAGGTACGTCTTGCTACTTCTACTTACACTTAGGTCATACTACACATATATGTACAAGCATATATATACATACATACCCCTCTGGGTTTTTTTCTATTTTCTTTCTAGTTCTTGTTCTTGTTTATTTCCTCTTATCTCCATGGGGAAGTGGAACAAAATTCTTCCTCTGTAAGCCATGCGTGTCGTAAGAGGCGACTAAAATGCCGGGAGCAAGGGGCTAGTAACCCCTTCTCCTGTATGTATTACTAAATGTAAAAGGAGAAACTTTCGTTTTTCCTTTTGGGCCACCCCGCCTCGGTGGGATACGGCCGGTGTGTTGAAAGAAGAAAGGATTGCTGGTGTCTTTTTTCTGTCTCATAAACATGCAAGATTTCAGGTATGTCTTGCTGCTACTTCTTACACTTAGGTCACACTACATATACATGTACAAGCATATACAGTGGAACCTCAAAAATCGAACTTAATCTGTTCCAGGAGCTAGTTTTAAATTCGAAAAGTCTGAAATTCGAAGCAATATTTCCCGTAAGAAATAATGGAAATACAATTAATCCATTCCAGAAACCTATAAATATTCACTCAAAAAATACATTTTATAGAGATGAATTAAAGTTTTACATACAACAAATACTATAGTTTTTAATTATGTATATTAATACATATAAAATAACATTTTTACTTACCTTTATTGAAGATTGGTGATGGCATCTGGAAGATAGGGAGGAGGAGAGAGGGAGTTGAGGTTAGTGTTTGGAAGGAGAATCCCCCTCCATGAGGACTTCAGGTGAAGCCCTCTCTGGGGTTACTTCCCTTCTCTGTCTTTTAATGCCATTAGGACCAGCTTGAGAGTCACTGGACCCCTGTCTCCACAGTCCTCTGTTTCTGGCACCTCTTTAACATTTCCCTAAAATGGGACATGGTTCTGTCACTGAACTTGTTGCAAAGATGGTTTGTTTCAGCTTGCTCAGGGTGGTACTTCTCCACAAACATTTGGACATCATTCCACTTGGCACAAATCTCCTTAATCTTTGAAGAAGGCACCTCATCCACTCCCTATATTAACACCTTTCACAACATCAGCTTCCTTGATTTGTTCTTTCTTTGACAGGATAGAACCGATGGTCGACTTGTTTTTCCCATACATCCTGGCAAGCTCAACAAGTCTCACACCACTCTCATACTTCTATATTATTTCCTTCTTCACATCTATGGTGTTTCTCACTTTCTTTACCACAGAGGTACCACTAGCAAGTTTCTTTGGGCCCATGGCAGCTTATTTCACAATCCCACGAGCACTAAACACAACGAAATAATCATAAAATGCGTGAATGAGAACGCAGGTTAGTGGTCACTCAATCATAAACAAAGCTAGACTGCTTACGGCGCCTGCGCAGGGACACGGACAGAGCAGGCGGCAGACAGGTCCCGTACCCGCCAGTCCGAAAATAGGGGCGCGTTCAATAATAGGGACACGGTTTGTCCGAAAAAATGGTCCTATTTTCGAAACGTTCGATATGTGATACGTTCGATTTTTGAGGTTCAACTGTATACACACCCCTCTGGGTTTTCTTCTATTTTCTTTCTAGTTCTTGTTCCTGTTTATTTCCTCTTATCTCCATGGGGAATTGGAACAGAATTCTTCCTCCATAAGCCATGCGTCTTTTAAGAGGCGACTAAAATGCCAGGAGCAAGGGCCTAGTAATCTCTTCTCCTGTATAAATTACTAAATTTAAAAAGAGAAACTTTTGTTTTTCTTTTTGGGCCACCCTGCCTTGATGGGATACGGCCAATGTGTTGAAAGAAAGTTAGTTTAGTATTTTTGTAGGTAGTAGGTTGGTAGACAGCAACCGCCCAGGGAGGTACTACCGTCCTGCCAAGTGAGTGTAAAACAGAAGCCTGTAATTGTTTTACATGATGGTAGGATTGCTGGTGTCCTTTTTTCTGTCTCATAAAAATGCAAGATTTCAGGTACGTCTTGCTACTTCTACTTACTTAGGTCACACTACACATACATGTACAAGCATATTTATACACACCCCTCTGGGTTTTCTGCTATTTTCTTTCTAGTTCTTGTTTATTTCCTCTTATCTCCATGGGGAAGTGGAACAGAATTCTTCCTCCGTTAGTCATGTGTGTCGTAAGAGGCAACTGAAATGCCAGGAGCAGTGGGCTAGTAACCCCTTCTCCTGTATATATTACTAAATTTGAAAGGAGAAACTTTGGTTTTTCCTATTGGGCCACCCCACCTCGGTGGGATACGGCTGGTACGTTGAAAGAAAGAAGAAGAAAACATGCAAGATTTCAGGTATGTCTTGCTACTTCTACTTACACTTAGGTCACACTACACATACACGTACAAGCATATATACGCACACCCCTCTGGGTTTTCTTCTATTTTCTTTCTAGTTCTTGTTCCTGTTTATTTCCTCTTATCTCCATGGGGAATTGGAACAGAATTCTTCCTCCATAAGCCATGCATGTTGTAAGAGGCGACTAAAATGGCAGGAGCAAGGGGCTAGTAACCCCTTCTCCTGTATATATATTACTAAATGTATAAGGAGAAGCTTTCGTTTTGCCTTTTGAGCCTCCCTGCCTCGGTGGGATACAGCCTGTGTGTTGAAAGAAGAAAGTTTGGTATTTTCATATGAACAGTACCTATGACTAATTGTACTTTTGTACTTAAATACTTTTTCATTTCAGTAGCACCAATACTAGTACTGTATGTTGTTAACCCTTAAGGTGTCTGTCACATACTAGTACGTCCACAGGATCTATGCCTGATGCGCTGGTATGCATGATTTATAGTGTCTGCAACTTTTGTGCAAGTGTTTAATTTGTGCCTAGACATGAGAGAATGGGTCTGCTCAATGAGTGTATGCAGTATACAAAAAAGTTGTGCCCCATTCAGTGCATGATGGGAACAGCTAGGCTTTAACCCCATGTTTGTGATGCCTGGTCATGGTTCTGGTCACGTGCATGTTCACCCTTGAAACACTCCAGGTAGATTGTGACTTAGGGGAGATATCTAGGGTGACTTTCATGTTTTTATTGGATGTGTTGTGGCTCCAGTAGATAGGTTGAAAGACATTCTGATGAAGTGGACAAATTTTGGGTGGATTAAAGATCAGAAGTGGCCTGTAATAGGAGTCAAATCAGTGACAAAATGGTTGATTTTCCCCATCCCTCTGTCTGTTTTAAGTTTTGATTTTTACTAGGTTGGCTTCAGTTATTAGGACTGCTTAACCCTTCAACTGTCCAGACCCCTGAAATGAAATTTGGTCTTTGTGTTCAAAAATTTAAAAATAAATCATCTTTCAACAAACCGGCTGAGTTCCACTGAGGCATGGTGGCCCAAAAAGAAAAATGAAAGTTTCTCATTTTAAATTTAGTAATGTATACAAGAGAAGGGGTTACTAGCCCCATGTTCCTGGCATTTTAGTTGCCTCTTATGACATGCATGGCTTATGTAGGAACAGCTCTGTTCCACTTCCCCATGGAGATAAGCAGAAATAAACAAGAGCAAGAACTAGTTAGAAAATAGAAGAAAAGCTAGACGGGGCATGTATATACAGTGGATCCTCGGTTATCGGGCGTAATCCATTCCAGAAGGTTGTCCTAAATCCGAAATGGCTGGAAACCGGAGTAATATTTCCCATAAGAAATAATGTAAATCCAATTAATCCGTTCCAGACACCCAAAAATATTAACAAAAAATACATTTTTTAAAGAATACCTATAATTTTACATACAGAAAACAGTGATAAAGAAATGTAAAGTAGTAATTTTAATAATAAATGAATATTACATACCAGTTTGGCAATTTGGAGGGATATGTTGTGTATCTTTATATGTGTATGCTTCTAGACTGTTGTATTCTGAGCACCTCTGCAAAAACAGTGATAATGTGCGAGTGTGGTGAAAGTGTTGAATGATGATGAAAGTATTTTCTTTTTGGGGATTTTCTTTCTTTTTTGGGTCACCCTGCCTCGGTGGGAGACGGCCGACTTGTTGAAAAAAAAAAAAAAATTACATACCATTATTGAAGTCTCTTGTTGGCATATGGAAGAAGGCGAGGAGGGAAGAGGGAGGAGACTTTATTGTTCGGAAAGGTAATCCTCCTCCATAAGGACTTCAGGTAACAAGTCTCTCTCTGGGGTTACTTCCCTTCTTTGTCTTTTACTGCCACTAGGACCAGCTTGAGAGTCACTGCACCCCTGTCACACAAAAAATCTGTCCAGAGAAGCCTGTTTCTGGTGTCTGTAAAATTTGCCTAAAATGGGACAAGACATTGTCATTGAACATGTTGCAGACACGGCTTGCAACAGTTTTGTCAAGGTGATAATTCTGCGCAAAACTTTGCACCTCACTTCACTTTGCACAAATGTCCTTAACCACAGAAGAAGGCACATTCTCCCCAACTTTCTTCCTCCTCTGAAGCAATATCCTCAGCTGCAGTCTGTTGCT